TCCAAGACCAAGCCAATTATTCTGCGGACTAAGAATAATTGGACCGCCATTGCCGGCCGAATAAAAGCTCTCGGCTTCAACCACAAGCTGGCCAGGACGACAGCGGAAGGCATCCGCATCCAGCCCATGACATCCGACGACTACCGAGGCATCACTGCATTCCTTCTAAAGGAGGACATACCCTACCACACCTTCGAGCTTGACGAAGACAAGAATGCCAAACTTGTTCTGCGTGGAATTGCAAGCGGCACTCCAGTCAATGAGGTAATGGATGAGCTGAAATCTTTGAACATCAAGGCAGTCAAAGTTAGCCGAATGCTCAAATACAAACAGCCGACCGACATGGTCATTGTCGAAGTCGACAAAGAAGACAGGGCCAAGGTGGCAGACCTTAAGGGGATCTGTCATTACGCAGTTCGGGTGGAGCCGCTCAATAAGAAGAAGGAAATCCGACAGTGTTACCGGTGCCAAACGTGGGGTCACACCCAAAAAGGATGCCACGCTGTTCCTAAGTGCGTCAAGTGCGGCAAAGACCACCAGTCCTTCGAGTGCACTAAAAATGCAAAATCTCAGGCCAAGTGCGTAAACTGTGGCGGACCGCATCCCGCAAGTTACCGAGGCTGCCCTCAATGGCCTGTCCTCACCATGAAAGGAGCCCGTGAACCAACCAGGGTTCAACCAAACATCAGCTACGCGCAGGCTGCGCAACACTACCCGGTCCTTCCTGTTCCAAGGAATGACACGCGCCCTCAGACGACACAGAGATCCCGTCCTCCAAGGCCAGAAGCAGCGCGGACGCCTCCAAGCAACCACCCGGGCAGCTATGCAGCCGCCACAGCGCAAGCAGCAAGCATGCCAATGAACCAGCAGCACACACTCATGGCTGCACTTCAAGCGATGGAGACCTTCATTGCGAATTTTAAGTCAATGTTACCTGTACTCTCCTCATTGAATGGCCGTTAGAAGGAAGCCATCGTCCCTAGAGGTCCTAATCTGGAATGCCAATGGACTCAACCATAAAAAGCAGGAGCTCCAACTGCTAGCAGAACAGAGATCGGCAGACGTGATGCTGATCAATGAAACCCACTTCAGACCGATTGACACTCCCAAGATGGCCAACTACAGAGTTTACCATAACATCAGACGAGGCCGCCCAGGTGGTGGAACGGCCATCTATGTCAAGCGTAACATCGACCATCAGCTGCTCCCATTGCCGGACCCGTTGCTGCTCGAGACTACTGGCATCTCAATAAACCTCGAGGGAGGTGGCTCAATCCATCTCTACGCGGTCTACAATCCACCAGCCAGAGTCCTCCCGGTTGACGACCTTGAGGCGCTACTTCGCACCAACCAACCAGTCATCATAGCTGGCGATCTAAACTCTAAGCACCCGGCATGGAACAGTCGAGCAACCAATCGCAACGGAAAACTACTACATGGCCTCCAAAACACTAACAACATCCTGGTGGTTGGACCGGACGAGCCTACTCATTATGGCACAGTAGGAAGACCAGATGTTTTGGACGTTGCGATTATTAAGAACGTTACACAGTTCTTCACCCTTGATGTGCTCGACGAATTAAGTTCGGACCATAACCCGCTAGCCCTACACTTGGGGGATGATCATGATGAGGAACCTGCAGTACCCACGCGCAGGATAAACTGGGCCCAGTTTGGCGATGTAGTGAACTCATTCACCGGTCAAGTACCTAGCCTCTCAACAGTAGCCGAGGTCGATGCTGCCATAACATCTTTCCAATCCAACCTGAAACAGGCATTGGATGCTTCAACGCACAACACCCCGCAACGAAGACAAGCCAATAATTTGCCGATTGAACTTCACCAATCAATCAGGGAGCGAAGAAGGGCGAAGAAGGAGTACCAGCGGACACTTCTTCCAGGTCACAAACGCATCCTCAGAATACTTTCAGCACAGGTGCGAGCTGAGCTGGATATTCTCCGGAACGACAGATGGCAGGAACTCCTTCTGAGCATAGCAGACGACAACAACACAGTCTGGAGGATCTCCAAAAATCTCCGCAAAAAGAAGATCCATTACCCGCCCATCCATGGGCAGAATGGCATGGCGTACTCCGATCAGGATAAGGCTGAGGCATTTGCAGATAGCTTGGAGTTGCAATGCAGTCCCAAGTACATCAACGCTGACATTGAACACATCGAGCAAGTTCACCGAACCAACAGACGCTACTTCAACAACACTCCTGATGAAGACCCCATTGACCCAGTCACCCCCGGTGAAGTAAGAGCCATCCTCAAGCGGTCTAAACCGAAGAAGGCACCAGGACAGGACGGCATCACCAACTGAGTGCTCAAAGCCCTCCCGCACAGATCAATGATGCACATTGTTGCCATAGTGAATGCCATGCTCCGACATCGTCACTTCCCCGCCCAATGGAAAAGTGCAGACATTATAGTGTTCCCCAAGTGCGTGAGTAATCTCCAATTCCCCCAGAACTATAGACCTATTAGCCTGCTACCAGCGTTAGCTAAGGTCGCCGAAAAAGTGATCCTCCAAAGGCTTCAAGAGCATGAGAAGCAGTTCAATATAATTCCCGACGAACTGTTTGGATTTCGGAGCGGACACTCCACCACAGATCAGGTCATGAGGGTCGTCGAACATATCACGACCTCATTCAACTGGAGGAAGTACACCGGAGCAGTCTTCTTGGATGTGGCCAAAGCCTTCGACAAGGTTTGGCATAACGGCACCATATACAAGTTGATCAAGTTTAATTTCCCAGTTGGTCTGATTCTACTAGTGAAAGCGTTTCTAAACGACAGTGAAACTTGAAAACATTAGATCCTCAGTGCGCGTAATAAGATCCGGGGTTCCGCAGGGGTGGCCCTCTCACCATTCCTCTTCGCCATTTACATGGCAGACATTCCTAAAATCCAGAACATCGCTACAACCACAGCCTTCTACGCTGATGACACGACCATCCTGGTCCGTCATTCCAGCTCACTACATGTCACCAGACTCCTCTAAGAGGCCCTCGATTTATTCGAAGAGTGGTTCCGTCTTTGGCGTATTGACGTGAACCTAGACAAAAGCACTGCGGTACTCTTCACCAGAAGAAGACCACCAGCCCAGCTTAAGGATGTCACTATGTTCGATAGACCCATCGAGTGGAAGCCAGCGGCCAAGTATCTGGGTATCACGTTGGACAAAGGACTCAGGTTCAAAGAGCATACAGAGCGAGTGACCAACAAGGCGTATGGAATGCTCAAACAACTCTACCCCATGCTAAACAGGAGGAGCAAGCTAAGTCGGCGTAGCCAACTGCTGCTTTACAAAACGACTATCCGCCCTACTCTCATATACGCAGCCCCGGCCTGGGGACATGCAGCACCAACTTACATAAAAAAACTACAAGTAGTCCAAAACAAGACCTTAAGAATCATATTTGATGCCCCCTGGTACGTACGTAACCAGCAAATCCACATAGAAGCAAACATGCCAACCATCGCTGAAACCATTAAGAAGATAGCAACAAAGGCTTTTGACCGCGCCGAACATCATGAAAATCCGCTGGTGCGGGGCGCAGTTGATTATGACGAGGACGATTACACGCGCCACAAACGACCAAAAACCATGGTTGACAGGTAACGGTAAAGCGAATCAAGCGTCAAAGCCAAGAGGGCATCGCCCGCACCAATGAAATCAGATGACTAAAGGGCAATAAGGGGATAGTACCCGGCCCGAATACCAGGAAGGAAACAAACAAACAAACGGAGCAACGTCGTGATCCTATTAACAACGTCGAAGAACTGGAGCACAGTACATCAGTTCTCACTCCCCTAATACAAAACTCAATTGATGACAACGTCCCTATCAGATCCTGCTCCTACCGTCCTCCCAGCCTCCCTGAAGAAATCCTTCAAATAATCAAAGAAAAGAGAAAATGGTATCGCACTCTAAAGAAATACAATGATCCCCAGATACGTACAGCCTGGTACCGGCTGGTAGCAATCACTCGGCTCAAGGTTCGAGCACACAGGGAGCGGCAGTGGACCACCATCACCGCGGAGCTGGACTACCGAAATGGGGGGATGTTCTGGAAACAGTTTAACCGCCTTACTAATCGACATCCTCTTCAAGAATATCCACTCGAAGTAGATCCAATACTTGACAGCGAGAAGGCGGAGATGTTTTTGGAGGTTCTTCAATCCACAAGCCGTCTTGAGGATCCTCTCTTTCATGATCGTTTCTTCCTAAAAATTAATACCGAAATTAAATCTCTCAACCTTGTGAATGAATTCTATCCTATTCCTGATCCCATTTCCTTGGAGGAAGTACAGGAGAACTTAGCTGACCATAAGAAGAACTCTGCTCCAGGTAACGACTGCATTTCATGGATGGTGGTAAGAGGCTTCCTGAACCAGCTCTCGAGTGGGTAACGGAGATCTTCAACGAATGTCTATCCCTTGGTCATGTTTCCAATGGAAACATGGAATCGTTAGGATGATAGCCAAACCGGGGAAGGATTCGAAGAACCCCTCCTCCTACCGCCCCATCTCCCTCCTTCCAGTAATGGGTAAATTGCTGGAAAAATCATTAAAGAAAAGAGTCCTCCTCCACTGCTCCTCAAACAACATAATTCCCAACCACCAATATGGCTTCACCAAGAACACATCTACACAACACGCAATTCTCAATTTGATAACACACGTCACAATTGCCAGTAACTCATAACAATTCTCCCCTACACTTTTCCTTGACATACATAGAGCGTTTGATACGGTCTGGCATTGCGGACTGATCAAAAAACTAACATTACTTAATTTCCCTCCACACATAATTAAAATAATCCACAACTACATAAAAGACAGAACTGCAGCAGTCAAAATTGGGAACTCTCTCTCTAACACTTTCGAAATAGGAGCAGGGGTTCCTCAAGGAGCCATTTTATCTCCTATTCTATTTAACATCTACTGCCACGATATTCCCACAAACCCTAAAAAGTACTGTCACGTTCAGCAATACGCTGATGACACCGTCACCTCTTCCTTCAATATCTAAAGCAGTAAAAACAGCAAGGCAACGCTTCCGTGGAAGCCTTCAGCTAAATATCTGGGAGTTACTCTGGATAAAGGATTGCGCTTCAAGCAGCATATCGTGACGGCCAGGAACAAAGCCTGTGCAACTATTAAACTGCTATATCCCCTGACGAACAGGAGGAGCCGTCTAAACTTCCAAAGCAAGTTGGCCATTTACAAGTCCATCATAAGATTCGGCATGACTTATGCGTCTCCTGTATGGGGTCATGCTACGCGCACTCACTTGCACAAGCTGCAAGTGATCCAGAACAAGACACTGAGAACAATCTACAATGCTCCCTGGTTTATCAGGAACGAGCAGCTGCACCGGGAGGCTAACATTCCTTTCCTCTCGGAATTTATGAAGAAGACAGCTGAGAAGGCTTTTGCCAGAGCAGAGGCCCATTCAAATCCCCTCCTGCGAGCGGCCATCGATTACGATCCGGGTGATCATCATACCCACAACAGGCCGAAAATGGCTGCTACCTGCAGTGCAGTGCACAATCATGGAATTCGAATCCGAGACAATCAGTGACCCCGAGGTCACCGTCGACCCCTCCGTGGCCCTACTTACCCGCAAACAAATGCGCGAATGGATGGACAACGTCAACGCCCAAGCCGCCGCCAGAATCGCCGAGCTTGAGAGAAAAGTTGAGGAGCTGGTGAAGATCAACCAGGACCTACATAACAGGTTAGGCGCCTCCACCTCCGTGCCCCCCCCCAACCGCGACCGCGAAAGTGACATAGACATTCAGTGCCGTTCCTCCGTGGCCTCGCCGCGCCAGTACAAACCGCGCAAAGCAACCCCTCCGCGCGCACCAGCCAGCGATTGCAACCGCTTGACGGACGAGTCCAGCTCGGACTCCTGCAGCAGCAACCAAGTGCCGCGCAACAAAAAGCGTCAACGATACTCCCCTGTATCGCTGACCCCCAAACGCCGACCACCCACAAGCCCAATCACCAATGGCGCTCCATCGCAAACTCCGGTAAGTAACATCTCCGAGTCAAACGATGACGTCAGCAGGCCCGCACAGCCAGTGTTCGCCTCAACCAGCAATACGCCTCCTCCGACCAGCTCGAAAGTCCCTCCAATCATCCTGAGGACCAAACAGAACTGGTCCGCCATCGCCGCAAGGATCAGAACCCTCGGCTTCAGCCATAAGCTGGCCAAAACCACCAACAAAGGCATCCGGATCCAACCGATGACTGCCGACGACTTTCGAGGTATAATTAAATTTTTTGATAGCGAAAAACTCCCTTACCACTCTTTCACCCTCGCGAGTGAAAAGACAGCCAAGATGGTGCTTCGTGGAATTGGAAGCGGCACCCCCACAAGCGATATCCAAGAAGCTCTCGCCGCAAAGAAGATCCAGGCAATAAAAGTCACCAGGATGTGGTAGTGGTTGAAACGTCCAAAGAGGACAAAAGCAAGGTCTACGACCTAGTGGGAATCTGCGATTACGCCGTAAAGGTGCAGCCACTAAACAAGAGAAAAGAGGTAGGCCAATGCTTTAGATGCCAGCGTTGGGGCCTCTCGCAGAAAGGATGTCGCGCAATACCCAAATGCGTGAAATGCGGCAAGGACCACGAGTCCTTCCAATACAAAAAGAGCGCTAAGTCTCCAGCAAAATGCGTCAACTGCGGCGGTCCGCACCCAGCCAGCTACCGAGGCTGCCCCGAATGGCCCGAGCTCTCCACCAAAGGCACCCGACAAACAACCAAGGTCTCCAAGGTTTAAAGACCAGAAAGGCCCCAGGCAACGACGGCATCACCAACCGCATGCTGAAGTCCCTGCCTCACAGGACTCTCATGCATATCGTTGCAATCACAAATGCCATGCTCCGATATCGCCACTTCCCGGACCCGTTCAAGACCGCCGACATCATCCTGATTCCAAAATGCGCTCACAACCTGCAATTCCCGCAGAACTACCGTCCCATCAGCCTCTTACCATGCCTGGCAAAGGTAGCAGAGAAGATTGTCCTGCACAGATTACAGGACCAGGAAGAACAACTCCACGTCATCCCGGATGAGCAATTTGGTTTCAGAAGCGGTCACTCCACCACGGAACAAGTGCTAAGAGTGGTAGAACACATTTCCACCTCATTTAACTGGCGGAAACACACTGGAGCGGTCTTTTTAGACGTGGCCAAAGCCTTTGATAAGGTGTGGCACAATGGCCTCATCTTTAAAATGATTGCGAGCGGCTTCCCGATAGGGTTAATTCTATTAATCAAGGACTTCCTCCACCATAGAACTTTCTCGGTG